CTGAACAGGCAGATACACTGCTGAGAGGAGAAGTGGGTGGCTCAGGAGAGGTCTGCCATGCCAAGTGTATCACCTCCAGCTGGGGATTGAACCTGCACTGAAGTGAGTGCAGCCAGTTTGCAGTGCTGCGTCCTAACCCCGTTGCACCACCAGGGAGCGCCTTAAACATGGTTTCATTAGAAGACATGTGCACATCCATTTGTCTGTAGGATGTCTGTAGCTGGTTTTGTGCTATAATGCAGAGTTAAGTAATTACAGTGGAGACCATCTGACCTGCAACACCTAAATCAAATAATTTTGTTCAGATACACTGATCATCTCATCATGCTCGATGTCTCCTTCAGGAAAGATGCTATTTGAATACTTTTTATTTCTTTAGTGTTCTGTCTTCATACTGAGTACAAAGAATTCTTTTCAATATTCTGAACATAAGTCCCTTAATAGATATATGTATTATAAGTTTTTTGCCAATCTTTAATTTTGGCCTATTTTTCTTTATTAAAGTTCAAAATCTTATAAAGATGATGGAATTCAGCTTATCAGTTTTTGAAATGTATGCTTAAATTGTCATCTGAATGATAGGAGTTGAGCTAACTATTCTGCTATCTTAGAAATTTTGATTTTGTGTAAGAAAAAAATAACAAACTAAGTGAATAATTACAAAGTTTAGCAGTGAAATACTGTGGTTAAATAGATCTTATCCTCTTAATCCTAATACAATTATTTTATTGACATCAATAATTATATTCATTAGCTGATAATTTATGGAAGTTAATGCTTATCCATTTTATTAATGGTTTACTCCATGTTCTCCTATTTAGAAAACTTCTAATTTCTTCATTAGTGTTTCAAAAAACTGACAGCACATAAATCAAATACTGCTACTAATTTAATTGTTTACCTTTTGAAGACAGTATTAGTATCTTGTGATTTTTCTCCTGAAGTGATTTTATCAACTTGACCAACTTCATATCAACAATTTATAACATTCTAAAATATTTTGGAAAGTGTAAGATAACTTTAAGAGCAATTAAACATGAAAGAATTCCTTCCACTTAACAGTTTGGAATAACTCCTTTCTCACATAAATTCCATTAACAGTTTGGAATGATAACTCCTTTCTCACATAAATGTGTGTGGTTGTCATGGTGGTTTAGTTGTCATGGTAGGTTAGTCCCAAGTACTGTGTCTTTATTTTTTTCTTTGGAGAGCCACTCAGAATTTTGGGGGCAGTATTACATGTCTGCTCTGAACCTACACATAGAGCCATAGAAACCTGACTCCTCAGGCTGATCCAGATAATTCTATAAATTTACAAAGCCCTTCTTTTGTTCAATTTTCTAAACTTGTCAACTTCCTCACTGCTTTTATTGCCACGGGGCATGTAATTACTTTTAAAAAATTAAAGGGGATTAATTACAATTTTGTTTTGAAGGGCCTTTTTTCCTCCTTATATTTCACAACACCCTTTGCAATACTTAGAGCTACCCCAGGGTTTGGTAAACGTAGGATTAGAAACAACAGAGTTAAGATTTTACTTTGCCAATGTACAATCTTCTCAGCCATACTAGCATAGTTTTCTTGAAATGTTTGCATTCTTTGTTTCCTTTCATTCTTGATTGGTACATGATTTGTTTTTCATATAAAATACAATAAACTTTTTCTCGTACTGTTATTTCTCTGTACTCCTGGACTTTTCTGGGTGACAAGTGTGCTATTTTACTTATAAATGTTTTCCTAGGTAAGCATTTATCATATTATTTTTCTGCCATCCCTAAGTCATTCACCAAAGATCTATTACAAACTGACAAAAAAAAAAAACCCTACAAAGCCTGTCATTACATATCTAGTGTTCCAAACCATTAAACCAGAATTAAAGATAAATTTATCAATGATTAAAAATGGATTATTGAACTCACACAGAGATATAACTCAAAATATAGGGGAAATTGTCCAAAAGTATAAAGTTTAATGATAGTCTACGTACTCATTTGAAAAAACACCTTATGAACTTACTCTGAAAAAGTAAAACCTGCACTGAAGGGATAATTTGGTGTGTGAGGGGGTGGAGATGAGCAAAAGAAGGGGAGGAGACAGTCTGAACTTAAGTGCAGGGTTGGGTCTTGAGTGCATTGCAGAATGTAATAAGATTATATTGACCAAAAACAAAGAGAAAAAAAAATGTTGAGAATCAGAGAAGTGTGGCATGATAATGAAGAGATCTGAGTTCCTACTCCAAGTAAGGTACTGGAATGACAGTCACTCAATAGAAAGTATGTGATGCTGACTTTGAGGTATCTATATGTTTATCTTCTGAAAGTCTTTTTAAAGTTTGGACGTAGAAAGTGTGAATTGCAATTTTGGAGAAAGTAGGGCCGCTAAATGCCAATTCATTTGAAAAACCACATGAAGTTGATGTATTTGTTGACATAGATGATAACCAAAGGGAGCACAACAGGAGTCACGAAAATCCCTGTGCAGGGGAAATGAGAACATATCCCCTTTGGGTCGTCAGGGATTCTGTTTAAAGCCTGCCTTTTCTTCACTTGGTGCAGCCATCTTTTCCATTTTCCAAGGGGAGGAATAACGTGGTAACTTTGTGAGCAAAGGTCTAATGAGATGATGCTGTGATTCTTGGTTTTAAGTGAAACATGCATGCAGTTGGCTATACTAAGCTTCCTTGATTTCTTCTTAACAAGGTTTTGGAAAAAAGACTGGCTGTGTTTTGATTTCATGTGAGACCTGATAACCTTCTAAGGCAGTAAATAAAAAATTCTTGACTTACATATGATCCATTCTATTGAATAGGATAGAGTAACCCCTAGAGTTAATCTAGGCACATAAATGAGAAGTGAAAAATATATAACAGATTCTATCTGTTATATATGAAACAGAATATATAACAGAATCTGTTACATATGAAGCATACATCATTTCATAAAAATACATGAAATTATGATAAAAAAATCAGTAGTTTGCATCAACTTGAGCATTATGGTCTACAGGTTAACCCTTCTCTTTACTTAGTAATGACAGTTCTCAATAAAAACAAGAGCAGAAGTCCAGTCTGGTGCAAATCTGAGACTGGGATTTGACCCCGTACTTAATCTTGTGGAGTGACAGGTGTGACTGCCCTTTGGTTGCACATGGTAGGACATAATTACACTACAAGACTACAAGAGCTGGACTAAATAATTCCTCTCTGGCTTTCCATTTGCCACAAACACAGCAATAGCAATGTAAGAATCAAGAATTTCATAGATGTTTCATAAAATTCTTGGGAAATATGTAGTACTGTGCTACCTACCGAGAAATAGTAGTCCTGGCTGTTAAGAAGAGTGGTTCCCACAACCTTGGTTCCAACAAAGGGCTAGTTTGGTTTTGTTCAAAGGTCTAAAGGAATCCTATGTAGCTATATTGACGTGGTCCAGGCTGATTTTGACTGATCTTGTTATTACTTTGGGAAGCCTGTGCTGTGTTCCAAGGTGCTGATTTGTGTGTGTGTGTGTGTATGTAGATAATGTATATCTTTAATTAATGATAAATAAATATGGATTATTAAATTAATAAATCCATCTTCATAATAGGTAAAATTATTTAAAAAAAATATGAAAGTCCTATGGAATAAGGAAAAGATATTAGAACATTTTTTACCCCAAAAGTCTTAGAGCCAGATATGTTATAGAATTCAGAAAATCTTTGGGTTTTAGAAATGTGTTAGAATGCCTAGGTCATATATTCAGTAACCTCTTCAGTTAGGTCTTAACAAGCCTACTTTATTTAATTAAGCCCATTAATATTTCTGCAATTAAACATATGAATAGTCACATTGACTTCTCAGTGAGATTATGAAAGACTAAGTGGCTTAGGATGATTCAAATAAGATTTTATTTCCAAATCAGTTTGATGTGAACTAAGAAAAGCCATACAAACCATTTTCAAATTATGGCTAAGGGGTGATGGATGAACCTGATCAAATAACCAATTATGGGTAATTACTATGTACCAACTGTAAGATACTTACTATGTACCAGCCATTTGCACTACTCTGTTAACATTCTTTCAAAACAGATACTCATGTTTTATCCATGATTTATAAGTTAGAAAACAGGAGGCACAAGCATTTTCAGAGAGTAGCCTGCAGCCATGCCGGAAAGTATGTGGCTCAACTGGTGCTGGGGTCCAGCTCCTGGCCCCGGAGACAAAAGTCAAGGTTGTTGCCTCCAGTTGGTCAAGAACTCTGTTTAGTATGATTGTCTGCCCTGTTGGCTGCATAGTTTGAAAAAAAAAAAAGACAAAAACTTGAAAATTTAATTAAGGTTTTTTTACCTCACTCAACATAATCTCCCCAAGAAAATTTATCTGATGATCTTTAGACATGAATGACACCCAAAAGGATCTGTACTGTACTACTGAGCATCATAGACCTTTGACTTACTGTTGGGCATTTCCATGTAATTGTCTTGCTGTCCCAGAGAGCTCCAAATGGAACTAATCATCTTCTCCTCCACCTGTTTATTATTTCACCATTCACTGTGCTGGTATCTCAGTTACCCTGAAGTGAAACCTTTCCTTTCCAACTCTATTAATTAAAAAGTCCTGGGAGGTGTGCCCAGACATCAGCATAAAGGAGGCTGAGAATTTTTCATATTATAGAATTCATTTTACCAATTTCAGATTCTTTCACTACTTCGACAGTATATAGAGTGAAGGTTCTGACCAATTTTAAGGCAAAATCATCTTAAATCCTATCTATTTGCTCAATAAGATACTACTATATATTAAAGAATTTATATTTGATTTTACTTTGTATTCTAGATGCTTTGTTATTAAATTTATTCTCTTTGATCTTAAAATCACCTGAGTGGATGTGATAGGATATTGAGAAGCTCAGTAAATAACATGCATTCCAATAATAATGCTTCTAGCAATGAACCTTTGTTTCCAAATTGTTCTGGGATGCTCAAAGTAACAGGTCTTGTTTTTATTTTCATCCTTAGGTAAAAGGCCAAGCCTGAAAGTCCACATCAATACTACCAGTGACTCCATCCTCTTGAAGTTCCTGCGTCCAAGTCCTAATGTAAAACTGGAAGGTTTTCTCCTGGGATATGGCAGTAATGTGTCACCAAACCAGTACTTCCCAATTCCCACAGAAGGGAAATACTCTGAGGCTATCGTTGGTAAGATATTGACTGTTAGGCATGACATAAAGACAGGTGAAAAGTTCTATAGATCTTGAAGTCAAATGTCATTTCTTCTACATCTTTGATGAATAGAATGCGAGCATTATCAATCATCATAATTGTTATTAATTAGTAGCATAATTCCTTAAAAGAAATATATGTACTTTGCATGTAGTGCAAAAATAATCAACTTCATCGCCATCCTGATCACATAGCCTAAATTGCATAGGGATTATCCTATGCTAAGTCAGCTAACACACCCTTTTTAAGACTCTATAACAAGGATTATTTTTGTGGATTAATTTTCCTCCCTGCTGTGTCTTTACTTTCATCTGATGGAAAATTTCATCTATGCATTTTTTGGTGTACATTCATGAGACATTACCTTAAAGGAAATTAGAAAATGCATTGCACTTTCAGAAAAAAAAACAGTATCTCTTATATGTATAATAAAAATTTACATTTATTTGGAAATCATATTAGAGTGTAATTTGAGAATGGGGATCCCTTCAAGTCTTGTCCAGAATATTATTTGCTTATGAAACCCTCTTAATGGGTTGTTTTCTAAAGGGTTCATCTATTAATGAACACTTTCAAAGATTTTCTAAGCAATCTAAGGTAAGGTTTATATTTCATTCCCCTGCTGTGTTTATTGCTAGAGTCTTTCATGAACTTCAGTGTTTACATCTATAACTTGAACTACTGTTGATGAAATCTGGTTTTTATACAGTTTCTCTGGTGATCTTATAAATGCCTTCTCAGTTTTAAAATTGGTATCTAAACAAGGTCTACATGTTACATTTGGTTATTAATTCTCCTAAATCTCTTACTCTTTATCAATCTTCTACCTTCTTTATAAAAACATCATTAATACACTGGAAAAATGAATTTATACATCCTTGTCCACATTCTGTTTTTAACTGGTTGCTTTCATTCTGTGTTTTTAAACTGGTTCCTCTAATCCCTGTATTTCCTATGAAAATATATTTAGATTTAGAAGTTGTATTAGATTTTGGATTCAGCTTTTTTTTTTTTTTTGAGGAAATAATGCCTTATGAGGTATGACTGATTTTTTTGACAACTAACTTAAAATAGAGGTACAACAGGGCTGGTATCATACTTTGTGAGGTCTGTTCAGTATATTTCCTCCATTCCTCGCTTAATGGTTTTAGTTTCTATTGGTGATCATTAATCAGATCTATTTTATACTAAAGTTGTAAAATAGTATTTACATTTTAGATATATTTTAGATAGCTTAATTCTCATCATCCCACTTTTATCTAACATTCTATAATAAAGAAGAAATTTCTCACATTTACTTAATTTTCCTTATGTAGTATTTTGGAATGTTTGCCCCTGGAGATACTAACAATACAGTGTTTAATCTATTTATCTACCTTGCATGCCTTAGATATTTATTTGCCTGATGACATGGAAGAAATAATACCTTATGGCAGTATAAACTCTTATTGTAATTAGTTGATATCCTGAAAATCCAGTGGTAATCGAGGATATTGTTTTATGACCAATAAGTACATGGTTGTTATATATTTTCTGGGTTTTAATAATTTTGGCATTGTCCATTCCTATGATTCTTTGTCTGCTGATCTTTTCATTGTCAAAACTGCGTTAGTGCTCTGGTTCACTATCAAACTGTGAACTCCAAATCAAGGTCTGTATCTTACTCTTTGGTTATTTATTCCTTTTTTGTACCATTATGCTTTACAACCATTTTTAATTCTGTTCATCTGCAGGATGATAATGAAATCTACTTTTCACAGTTGTGCTGTGGGTGTGCTAGTGAATTCATGGCATAAAGTGATGAGTTGAAACTCCTTGAATGGGAGGTACAATGTAAAAGGAAAGAATATTTCTTTATGGATAAAAGTGTCACTTATATCTGCTCTTCTTACTTTCTGCTGTAGTAGAATAATAGTATTTGTTCAGTTGCTTGGAACTATACTTAACTATAGTAAGTTACTTTCATTTTCAAGTATTACGTGCCACGTCATCTGACATATCTGATGTGTTTAAAAGACCCCACCGTTGAATGAGATGCTGTTAATCATTCAGAAATATTCAGTTGATTTTAAGTATTTTGTGGACTAATATCATTTATAAGCATTCCTATGTTATTTATAAGTACATTTAAAAGTATTTATAAGTATAGATTTATAAGTATTTCCATATTCTATATTTTTTATATCAAAATTGTCTAGGAGTATTGACAGAGGCATTTTTAAAAGATACACATACACATAAAATATCCCCTTCTGCTATTTTGGAGATTAAGATTCATATGGAACTAATGAAAAACTTGATCTAAAGCTTTAGTAGATTAATCAGAGCACTATAAAAAAATAGTGTTTTCCCAGTTGAGTTAATAAATATTTATGGCTATGAAATGTCTGTAATGATGAACTAACTCATGATTCACATTTCATGGATCTGCTAGCTTTCCATATCCTATTTTTCCATATATTATGAATGTTCTTATTTCAGTTTACTTATTGCTGTTTTGTTACTTTTACGGTCAGGTGCTGGTAAGTTAGCAAAGTCTAATAAAAGTGAAAAACAAGGGTTTTTTGACATTGAATTTTTATAGACTTTTATGATCTCTTCTTGGCATCTGAAAAATACTTTAATCAATGCCACAAGGGGTAGAAAGGGTTACAGTCCATCCATTAATTACATACCAGACATTAAGTGTATTTTAGTACTTTTAGGGAGAAAGTACTGAATGATCTCCAGCAGACATGGGTTTTGTGAGCTCCACCCCCAGGCCAAAGAGACTGATAACAACAAGAACTACAAATCCCATAATATCATCACCACCGACAGGATTGGTGGAAACTGAGGGTGGAGTTAAGCAGCCAGGTTTTGTATATAACCAGACATGTGGGACGTGAGGATCCTTTTGGTTTTTCACTGCTGTTGGGATTCAGTGGAACCGGTAGTATGCATTTAGCAACTTATCTCTTTTTCTCTGAGTTATGCATTTTTTATTTCCTCTTTTTTTTATAAATAAGCTCTTGATTACCCCTTTCTGTGTGTACCGCAACTGAGTCTCACTATAAGCCCTTTTAAACATGCAGTGAGGACCCACAATCAGGCCAACCCATTTCACATTGGAGTTGCCCTGTAATCGCACCTCTACTGCAGAAAAGGCTCACTTTTAAAAATCATTATCAGTATTATCAGTAGCATAGACTGGTTAGAGTTTGTCTTTCATCAGATATTGGGATTTAAAAGATTTAAGATGCTTAAGAGATGAAAAATTTCTTAATTCTCAAATTCTCACAGCTGCTATTAGTTAACACTTGTTGCTTTAAGAAGGTGTTTCTCATCCTCACTTCCTCTTCCTACTCGCCATCTTGCCTACACCCTATAGACTGACTTGTGTGCTAGTTGAGGAGGTAACAATACTAAAAGCCCTGTAGACCCTTGCACTGGCAGGAGTCTGGGCTAGAAGGCTGCCTCTTTAAAATTTTAAGTCAAATCTACCTGAGTTCAAATTCACCACCTTTCCTTCCTATGAAATAGTTCTGGGTAAGTCCAACTTCTCTCTGTTTCCTTTTTATCATATAGAAAGCAGAATACTCTTTCAGGAATATTGAGAAGACCATGGATAAGTTATATAAGGCAGCAAATACAAACTGTCACACAGATGCTGTGTTCTTCATAAATTTTGTCAGTGTCTTTTGAATGAACACTAATCTTGGATGATACAGCTAACCTTTCTGAACTTTGATTATTTAGTAATAATGAACTGGGATGAGTTGCAATGACAGTGCTGTTCAGCGCCAAGATTTTAGTGCCTTTGTTGAAAAACTTTGGTCTCTTGGTACTGAGTGGTTTGGTTTTGTTTTGTTTGCTTGATGTGGGGGAAGAACTGTAGAAACAGTGTGAGATAGATTGTTTTGGCAGAACTGACAGTTAATGAAAAAATATAAAAAAAAAATCTTTCTGCTATCTGAAAAAATGTCTTCATGGAAAGGACAACTCCCCAAATAGATTAAAAACAAAGGACAAGGTCGGACCTGGGTGTTTTCTATCGCTGTCTGTCTTTTAATCATGGGGGGTGTGGTGGGAGATCTGTTTGGTGCACTGATGGAATAGTCTGTAGGTCTGTAGATCCTTTTACAAGTCCACAGCTGATGCCACTTAAGGGGAGTAAACAAGTGAATCCTCTAAAGACACAGTTGAAAGCATTTGTCATCTGTAATATGTCAATTTTCAGCAACAGTTTTGATCTCTTCTACAAAATGTAGATTTGTAATACATCAATTTTCAGCAACAGTTTTGATCTCTTCTACAAAATGTAGATTAAGGGCATGACAGTGTCATTTACTTAACTGATTGTAATTTTACTCAAGTTCAGGCTAAAATGTAATGATCAGTATTTTTTTTTTTACTAAGTTGGTCTCTTAATTCACCAGGGGGTAGGGTGGGGGGGTTAATTTTTAAAAGTTATTTACAATTATTGATTCAGAAATGAATGAATACAAATTGTTTACTTATGCATCTTAGTGCACTTAAATTACTTATAAATTTGACCTTTAATTTTACACTTGTATGAAAAGCAAGAGAATACACAATTATTGTCTTTCATCATGGCAACTATTAGAATTTCATTTGTTCTCTCATAAAAATATTAAGCATGCTCCTTTATGGAAGTGGGGTGAAATATTAAAAAAAGATTGCTATTATTTTAGACTGAAGAATAAATTTCACCTTAATGGCAAAATTTAAGCAAATATTTATTATAATAATTGCCACAGATTCTAGTCATATATTTTTTCATTGAAGAAAAATAGGTGGAAGAAGAGGTTGAAAAGAAATAACTGAACAAGAGAAACAAAATCAGCTCATTTCTGCTGTACCTGATGGAATCCTTAGAAAATTAGCAAGAACTTATAAGGGGGGAGAACAAGACAGCAGCCAGCAGCGAATATGAAGCAGTCCCAAATGCAGATAAAAAATGGCATCTTAGTATT